GGATTACATATATTTTCTTAAAGATTTTATAAATATTGTAACCTTCACATAAATTCAAATACAAATATTGTTGTTTGCTTGCTATTTTTCTTTCCTGTTTGTTGTATTTCAGGATTGAAACTTTAGACACTTACAATAATATACATAAAGATATTTCATGTATTGAAAAAATTTAGACTATAAGTTATCTCAATTTTTAGACGGAACAATTAATTCCATTATTTCGTACAAATAGTGAAATTAAATAATTTTAAAACTAATTAATAATACTCATTTTCAAATGCGGAATAACATAATTATGAATTTTATCCTTTTTGCACCACTCGATTCTCCCTAGAGTTGTCAAAAATGGTCGGCTCAGCCCAAGCCTCGTGGGTCAAGGAATTTGATAAGCTAGGGCGGGTCGATCCTTCATTTGGAAGGCTTGGAAATGCTCAATCCAACCCAACCCTAGAAGGACTGAGGGCTGGGGCTGGCTAACCCTTTTTTTCATTTTTTTCCTTTCAAACTTAAAATTCTATAACATCAAGAAAATGAGAAGATTTTCAAACCAAATATGGCAAACAATGATGTTGTTTTAATAACAATAGTAAAAAATATAGTGTGATTAGCATGTATCTAGGATACTAAATATGTGAGATACATGTATCTGGTGTGATGTATTCGAGATACATGATCTGGTGTGATGTATCCGAGATACATGTATCTGGTGTGATGTATCCGAGATACATGTATCTGGTGTGATGTATCCGAGATACACGATCGAGATAAGAGAGTGGCGAGCGAGGGAGAGGGTGAGAGATTTGTCTATGTATCATATATACATATGAATCCACTTGAATAAGGTGTATCTAGAATAAATTAACCTAATTTTGAGTCCATGTATCCTGAGATACATGTATCTGGACGTACCAAAATTTGGTAAGATTCGTAATATTACAACATAGCATGCATTTAACTAATTAGCCCATATACTAGTGAGATTGTTGTAAGTTACTCTTAAATAAATAGTTTTGCCCCATGGACCGACCCCAATCAAGTCTCAAGAGCCAAGTGCTTATATGGGTCGGGCTGATAAGCCCTAATTTTAAATGGATTTGAAAAAAATCATATCTCAACCATACCTCAATAACTGGTTGAATTGGCCTGCCCCATGGGCAAAGCAGATTTTGACGAATATAATTATCCATATACTTTTGGAAGTTAATTGGAACCAGTTTATTCATGAGAATTATTTATTTATTAATGATTTTTTAATTTTATTTGAAAATTAATATTTGATCATAAACAATCAGATATAACGATTGTATTTAAATTTTGGAGAACACTCAAAAATTTGTTTTTCCTATATTTTTCTTTTTACAAAATTTACCCCCTTTTATTAGTTATATTTCATGTTTTTTTTATGAAAACTATATTCAAACAGCTAAATATTCTTTGCAAAAAAATAATTACACAAATTCATCTTTAACTTTGACTTTTAAAATTTTCAATAGTAGAAAATAAATGGTAATAATATGTAGTAGCTAGCTCGTACATGAATATGATACTAACATTATGTGGCTATCTATTTTGAGATGTTACTCTTTTATAGTAGACTTGATTGTGTATTTCAAATTAAATTAGTCAAGATTGATGATTTTGCAAGTTTTTAGAAATTGAGCGCATAAATGGTAATTACGAAAATACATTTAAATTTTAAATATTATATTATAAAAAGTACCATCAAACAATTTCTACTCCAACTCTTACTTTGAGATTTTCAAATAGAGTAAACAGTATTCACTTCTCATTTATGCTTATGCATATATATGTTTTGGTAAGTGAGATATTTTATATATAGAGTTAAATTGGTGCAGAAGTTAGGTTCTGACTTTGTTCCGGTACAATGTTTATGGCCATATATTCGTCATTGTTGTTCATGATACACATAGAAATTTTCCTAATAAAAGTAGTTCCTATCATATTGCTTTCATTGCATCTAGCACATACACAAGTGAAACTTTTAACAGTCTTACACTCTTATGTTATCAAAAAGTGAGAGGGCAGGAAGGGGGGGGGGGGTGGTGAGCACCTTACTTTGCCACCAACTTTGTTATTTTATTCTCCTCTCTAAACACGTGACAAATATTTATTGGTCCTAATTTCTTCATTATATTCACATTGAAAAATGATATTATCAAAACATAGGTGATCTTTAGTAAATATAGAGATAACTTGGGCATAATCAGAATATGACATATCAATGCGAGACAATTAAGTATTATGAAATACAAGAAATACTAATCAATCAATGCTTATTTGTAAGTAATCTAAACTTGCTTTTGAACATACAATATGAAGTAATGATTTAAATCAATATTTGAACATATTATCTGAAATCATAATTAGCATTTCAATCTCACCAAATCATGATTTCAGAAAAAGATAAAATGCAAAAAACTTGATTTATAAATTTATAGTTTGCCAAAAAGGTCAATTATTTTAAATTTTACAAAAAAGAAACTCATACTCAACGTGAAGAAATTGATCATACCATATGAAATAATCATATTAAAGAATAACAAGTTACTATTAATGATGACTAGTAAATCTTTATAAAATTATGTGTATTTAAAAGTTTGTGATTGTAAATATTTACTTATAAAAAATATGAAAATATGTGATTTATTAGTAACAACGTTTTACGATATTTCGATATCCTGTTTATGAAGTACAATTCACTCATTTAGTCATATTATATAAAAATTAATATTTTTTTGATAATTTCCACAACTTATGAGACTTTCATATTAGGCGAAATAGTCTGATGGACCTTTGTACTTATATAAGTTTGTATTTTGAACCCTTCTACTTGACTCTTTATCAACTGAATTCTTAAACTCAATGAAATTCGATAATTTAAGCCCTTCTAACCAGTGACCAAGTTTACATGGCCGTTTATTTATTGAGTTGACACCAACACGTGATTTCACGCGTAGAAGGAGCGTGAACTCCAAATTTTGGACTGAATTTTTTTTTAAAAAAAGACCAAAAATAATAATAATAATAATAAAAAATCACTTCTTTCTTCTTTTCCTCCTAGCCCACCCCATTTCTCTTTCTCTCTCTAATTATCATTACCTTCTTCCCCATTCAACCCCAATTTCCTTCTTTTTTATCCTCTTCCCACATCTCCAATTTCTCTTTTCTTTCTTTTTTTCATATTTTATTTTTTCTAGAGAAACAAAAATGTGTTGTTATGGTAGATCTGTTTTTCCTTCTATTTTTCTGGGTTATTTACAGCTCATAAGGTGACAAAAATTCAATAATCTTGAAGGATGAAAAGTGATTGTTGAATGTCTTTGTGATATATGATGAATGTATTATGTAAAATTGTGTACAAATATTGTGATCTATGGTGATTTATTGATATTAATGGAGAAAATAAATTTATGTTGGTTCTAATGGATGATGTAAACGTTGGTAAAAAAATTACGATTCAGAGTTATGAATGTTAGAAACTTCCAGAAAAAATTGAATTATAATTTTTAAGAACTTGAAGAATATGGTCATAACTATAGACAAAAACCAGACATGAAAAAGAAAAAAAAGGGTGAATGGAGATGGTGTTAATGGTGGTTGTGGGTTGAGGGTGGTGGGGGAAGGTGAGAGAAATAACTATTTTATTTTATTTTTGTAAATAGAAGATTTATTATTTTTGTCCTTTATGGAATAACATTTTTGGTTAATAATTTAAAAATATTTATGACATGGAGTTAATATATTTGACGTGAATATGACATGCCATTTGTGTAAGAGAGAGTGAGTTCCACACATGGTTTGAGGGGTTTAAAAGTCTAACTTTAATTGAGTTTAAGAGTTCAGATAATAAAAAGTCAAGTAGAATGATTCGAAATACAAATGCATACAAGTATAGAGGTCCATCAAACCATTTCGTTTTTATATTATAACAAAAAATATAATTTAAAAAATCTAATTTACACGTCCAACCATGAATTCAGATTCATATAATCTAATCTCATATAGTATATATGTTCAAACGGCCATAAGCCGTTCACTTGACATGTTCGGTTTCCGATCTTATAATTTCCACATCCATTTCCCCTTTCCGTACCCCTATTTATTAAAAAATTAAAAATCTCTTATTTGCTTTTCTTCTTTTTATTTTACTCTTACCTTAACTTCTTCACCCCCTTCTGCCCTCTTCTCTCTCACAGCTTCTTTGCCGATCCTCCACAGACAAATTCACACAAAATCTCTGTTTTTCCCTAAAAGGGTTGCTTCTGTATGCAATTTTATCAATACCCAGAAGAAATTCTTGTTCTACACATCCAAGATTTGCTCTGTAGGGTTATCGCAGTGGCGTTCTTAGGATTTTTTCGGTTTTCATCAACCCCATATCAGCAAAAGTTATAATAGGTTGGTTTTCTTCATACCCATCTCGATTTTTGTTCTAATTTGCGATGTATGTTTGGAATTATTCAATTTTAGATTGTGGGGTTGTTCAAGAATTGATTTTTATGATAGTTTTGTGTAAAAAAGATTGCATTTTTTTCAGGGTTGGTGATTTTTTTGTTGAAAGTTATGGTGTATTCGATGTTTTGCTATGAACCCAGTTGAAACAGACACGGATTATCCTCCGTTTTACTCAAGGAAGAGATTAAAGTCTTTAGATTTGATGGGAATGGATGTAACTTCAATGGATACTGTTGGGGATGAAAAACACGATGATGTAGTGTCTACAATGGAGTTAACTGTTGGGTATTGCCTATTTTCAATGAAGATTGTATTTTTTAGTTTTGTGTTCACAGACCAAATTATTTATAGAGTGAAGGGTGAAAAACACAGCTAAAATATCCATTTTTTTAAAGTTTCATACATGAACTATTAGGTGGGTGAGTTTATTATTTTGATGGAGGACAAATAGACTTCTTACATTTTCTGCAATTTCGATTCCCTTCTTATGACTTTCTTTGCTTAATATTGTGTGTGAAATAGGTCAACGAAGAATCATGTTGGTTCTTTGAAGATCATGAAGGGATGAAACATGGGCCGCACTCTCTTATGGAGCTTTATTCATGGTGTCATTATGGATACATTGTGGATTCAGTGATGGTGAGTTTGTGTGTCCGTAGCATTTTTTCTAGGTCCTATATTTAGCTCTGTAGTACATGGTGCAGCTGTTTCCCCTACAATCCCAGCCTTTCTGTTGGAAGATGTTTGTTTTATTATGTTGGATGTACAATTGAATCTTCTGAGCTATAGGCTACATGTAAACTGAACATATGTAAAACAGTTTACCCGGTTTTGATGGGTGGAATCCCTCGATTGAGCTGCTACACTGCACTGATCGCTTAACTTTTTTAAATTAGATATGGCTGGGTTTTAGTTGAAGTATAAAAACTGAGAGGACTCTTTTGACTGAATATAAGTATTTTTATGAGTGCATATAATTTTTTTTTACTATAGAAGCAAACTTGGGGAGGTGGGGAGTGGCCGAATATATTATTTTTATGAACAACCTAGGAAATGGAGCCTTTTTGTTTGTGATAATGTTGTACATACAGTGGGAACTTAATAGGATTCATTTCTGTAAAGGTGAATTCTCAGAATTTGTGCTGTGCAAAGTTCTATTACCATAATTTCTTGCATATTCCAAAAGAATCCTGTTCTTGTTTCTGTATGGGCTCGTCGGATATCTATTGTTCTTGTTGTCTTTTTCTTCCGCCCAGCTTGTGTCAATTTGGCCTTAACCCGTAGTCTCTTCCCATTTTATCTGTAGGATTATATTCTCACTCATCTTCCGATACCCTCCAAACTTGCCATTTTGAATTTGGCATAATTTTCCTACATTCTTTGTGCTTGTCGCTTGGTTAATGGTCTTGTCAAAACTTGGAAAGGTCTCTCTACAAACTGTTAGTCTATTGTACTTTTATATAAATTGTTCCACGCTGCACTCTCCGAACTGAACCCAAAATTAACTAAGCAATTCTGTGAAGTAGTTTCCTCTTTTCTTCACCAATCTTCACATCAGTTTAACTTTATTCCCCTTTTTTAATTATCCCACGAGTTTCAACTTGCTTCCCTTTGTTTAAGCCTCATATAATTTAACTATTAATTTAGGTTCTAGACCGTTGGAAATACAGTTCATGGTTCCAATTATTAATGAGTTTAAAATTGGAGAGTTCGGTCATTTGCAACCATAGTGATAATCACCAGAGAATTCTATTCTTTTAAGTAGTTGCTTTTAATTTTTACTTAGGTTTCTGAACTAATTGCCTCAGTGTTAATTAGCGTTTCTACTTGATTTTTTGGGTGCATTTACTTCTCTATGAATACCTATTTGCCTCATTTAGTAGGTTATTTTAAGTTTTACTTATCTTCAAGTTTTTGTTCCCATAGGAGAGCCATGGTAACTAAGCACCAATTAAGTTTTCTTTTAACTGGTTTTGTGTTGATTTGAGGATTTTGACCTTTTTTTCCCTCGTTGCTTGCATTTATTGGAGATTGTCCAACTCTTTCATGCTATGTGATACTACACCTAAGTGGTATGTGCTTATTGCTTGCTCATTGATGTTGACTTTTGCAGATACATCATGCTGCTGATAAGTATAGACCCTTTAGTTTGAAATCTTTGATTAGTAGTTGGACTACGGCTACCCCTGGAGCTCTCTTTTGTCTAATCCCGATGGGCATGAGACTGCATCCTTACAAGATTTTGTTTCCGAAATTTCTCAAGAAGTATGCTCCCAGCTACATATGGTTATCATGAAAGCAGTCCGTAGGACTCTACTCGATGAGATTGTTAGCCATGCAATTTCAGAGTGCATCACTGAAAAGAAAAATCTCAAGAAAGCCACTAATCAAAAGAAAGTCACTAATCAAAAGAAAGTCACCAATCAGTCTGTCAAGATGTCATCTCCTGGTACCAGAATGGTAAATAACTTTCAAGCATGAAATAGAAGTGTGGGGAATTGAAATTTCGAATCTTGCATGCTACTTATCGTTTATGTGAACAGTCTGCAGGTTTTGGTGGCAGTAAGGCCTTAATTGATCCTGAGAGGGGTGCAGAAGCTCCTAATTTTCTTAACCGGAAATCTCCTGCTGCTGAAATCCCTTTGAAGTCGTCTTCAGGAAGCTCAAAATCTGTTGGGAGCTTTGAGAACTGTTGTGATTCTTATACAGTTGTTTGCAGGAAATTATTGGACTCTTGCATGCAAAGTATCTGGAATGCTGTCTTCTATGACCATGTTTCAGAGTATTCATCTGCGTGGAGGAAGAGAAAACGATGGTCACCTCCTTGTCTGATGGTTGAATGGAACATTCAAGCAATATTCATCTCCAAATTTATGTCATAGCGTGTTGACAGGGTATTTTGTCCTAATCAAACTCTCAACACGAACACATTTTGCTTCGAAGATGGACCATTGCGATTCCATTGTCCGCGGTGACACTGGAGGTATCTTCATCAACTTGATGAATCAATAACTTGTTTCCCAGATACTTGTTAGCCATTATTTTAATTTTTGCTATCCTTTCAACCACATATATTCTTAAAATGGGTCTACTTCGATCTTTAAAAAAATAATCGTAAGTCACGATCATCCCTTATCCTAGAAGGAGGTCCTTTTTGCTTTTCAATGTAAGTAATAGAGAGATCATCTTTATCACAATTTAACTTAAACCTAGAAATAATTATCTCAACCAACTCATTACACATAATATTCTCACATATCTTTATTGGTACCGTTTCTTGACCCTTTGATCGCCAAGTATAACGAGTAGGATTCTCTACCCATTCACTATGTAAATCAATTGCTATTATTGTTATTTGATCTTCCATAGATGGACACAATACCTGAAGACATCACACAATATTTCAACTAGTGAGACATTCATCAAACAACTTTGAAATTGCTAAAGAATATTTAATACTTATTATTACACCTATTTCGTTGTTTCACAACTATCATCAATAGTAAGAAAATTTTAGTAGCTTTAGAAATTTTTATAATTCTTCAATTGACCAACAATAGAATACAACTATCAAACAACTGCACTAGTTGTTGGGACTTCTACTATCGCCGGACAACTATAGACAGTTGTTGGACATTAACAAACGTCATATTTAATTATTTCAATAAATAACTTTGATAGTTTCCTGGACAACTACGAAAGTTGTTGACTTAAACAATCACTTTGGGTTCACTAAACGCAGCTTAAGAATGGACGCAAAGTGATTTTAATACTTATCAATAATGCTCTTTTTAGTTTATTCAAAGATCAAACAAAACAAATGCAATACAAAAAAACTCAAACATATATATATATTTTGATATTCTTTTTTCATAAATTTTTCTTGATAGATCTTCTTAATAAAAGCATATTTTTGCAGATAAAGGAGGAAGAAGAAGAAGAAGAGGAAAAAGAGGAGGAAGAAGAAGAGGAAGAGGAGGAGGAAGAGGAGGAAGATGAGGAAGAGAAAGAGGAGGAACAAGAAGAGGAAGAGGAACAAGAAGAGGAAGAGGAGGAGGAGGAAGAGAAAGAGGAGGAGGAGGGAGAGGAGGAAGAGGAGGAGGAGGAGGAGGAAGAGGAAGAAGAAGCGGAAGAGGAGGAAGAGGAAAAAGAAGAAGAGGATGAAGAAGAAGAGGAAGAGGAAGAAGAAGAGGAGGAGGAGGAGGAGGAGAAGACGACGAAGACGACGAAGAAGAGGAAGAGGAAGAAGAAGAGGAAGAAGAAGAAGAAGAGGAAGGATGAGGAGGAAGAGGAAGAGGAGGAAAAAGAAGAGGAAGAAGAAGAAGAAGAGGAAGAAGAAGAAGAAGAGGAAGAAGAAATGATTGACAAATATACCTGTGGTTGAAGAGGATTAATGGGAAGAAGATGGAGTTGAGAGAAAGAGCGCCTATTTTTTAAATATTTAGAAGAAGAAGAAGAAGGAGGAGGAGGAGGAGGAGAATTTTTTAATCTAATTAATATTATTTATTTATTTTTCACTTCTACCTAATATTTAAGACTTGTACGACTCCCTCCTAATTTACTAACTTCTTTATCCCTTTTAATAGACCTTCCCTAGAAATCTCGACCTATACTTGGCTAACTCAAGTACAATTAGGAATACATTTTTACTTAGTTTATTATAAAAAAAACTCAATTAACAGAAGATTTCCACTTTCACGCAAAGTAATGTCTTATTAAATTTCACTTAGCATTCATTAATGTATACATATGTATAAAACTAGTTTGTTAAAATGCATTACTTAAACCCCTCTTTTGAAGTTGTTTTTCTATTCATGCAATGTTCCCTATATCTACATATTTTTATACACAAGAATAGTTCCCTATTTATGTACGAGTTAGTCTTTTTAGGAATCAAGTTTTTGTATAACTTGCTCTGTTTTGCACCTTCAATAACTCTTTGAGAATTAGATTTTTCCTAACTTTCACTTCCTATTCTTTTCTATTTTTTGCACGCACATTAAGGCCGAATAGCCCTGCTATGAGACTCAACGATACCATTGTTTCATTATGATTTTTACATAATGAAACAAATGAACAAAGTTTGAAAGTCAAATGAGATTTTCAGAGGATGTGAAGATAACTCACAATCGATCAATGAACATGACAACATGACAATATTTGAGTATGAAGTTTTCCATTCAAGAGAAATCAAGACTCTACACAAAAGGGAGACTTTGGATAGATTTTCTTAATGTAACTTCACTTTTCATGTATTTTACCAACTACATTTTGACCTAATTCTTTTGGTAGAATACGTATGAAACCCACATAGTGTACAATTTTACTATGTAACATTTTTAAATTTCCTTATTTGTAATAGCAGAACTACGCCTGACTTGATTCCCTCAGTGGGATACGTTGGCCACACATAAATGGTTCAACCACATTAAGATAATTTTTTTTTACTATTTATGAATCTGAACTACACATGGTCTGACCTTGGAGGGATATGTAGGCAACTCATACCGGGTTCGGTCCCTTTTATTAGAAAATGTTCAAATCATTTCTATGTACTTTGAACTACGTTTTAACCTGATTCTATCGACTAGATACGTAGGAATCCTATATAAGGTTCTGTCTCACAACAACATAAGTTTAGTGTACTTCTCTTAAATCAGCACTAGGGCAGAATTCTGGAAAAACATGGTCAAGGAATGACCAGAATCTATCAAGCTATAAGCTGCTACATTATAAGAAGTAACAAACAAATGGGGTTCATTTTGTTTCAAAATTATCACAATCTAAGAGTTTGGTAGAAATTATTTTTCTTACAACTTATAAACATATACTTACATATTTTCCTACGTACTAACAAATGCCTCTTTTGTCACGACCCAAGGGTACCCCCTAAACGTAACAAGGCACATAGAACCCTGAAAGGCTCCATGTAAGTTACCTAGCATATCATAACATAAGTAAAGAACAATAAAGAGTAAAACGCATTTTCAAGTCTAAAGTTTTCATAAAGGAAAGCGGAAGTCTAGACTCGTCTCAATTAGCCATCTATTACAATCTTTGAATCAAATAGGGTCACAACCCTTACAACATAATCTGAAAGTTTAATACAATGAAAAAAGAACTACAAGACATCATCCGTCATCAAACCACGAGGACTCACCACAAGCAAGGAGAATAGTTGATTTCAAGCTTGAATCAAATGAAGATCACCTCAAACACCGGACCCTACACTTGTGGGAAAATGTAGAAAAATATGGGTTAGTACAAAAATGCACTAAATATGATAGCCATGCATAAAAACCTTGAAGACATGATAAAATGGACATTTTAGTTGAATGCATGCAATTTGCTAAGTTAAAGCATCATTTGAAGATAATGGAAAAGCATAAGTCATAATCATAATCAACTCATAAATCAACAAGGAACATATCATACATACCCTAAGTAAAGCTTCTTGAATAACTATAGTTCATAACTCATCTTTTTGTTCATACTATCATATTAGGGAATAGGCCTTAACTGACATAGACCATTTGAGCTTACCATGGAATCCGGTGTCTACCCCACACCGAAAAGGGGTTGTCCTACTTGCCTAAGGTAGAATCATACTCTTAGCTTAGGTGGATCCACTAGGTAAAGACCTATGAGGACACATAATTTATCATTTTTCGTAATGCCGCAAATATCACCCACCCCCAAGCCCACACTCCCAACACCCTCTAAGGTAACTCCTCCCCAACGCTTTCAAATTTGATGGTATTTCATCGTTGTTCTTCTCCGTGTTATTTTTGTAAGAATTTCAAAGATATGCTTTCATTGTTTCAATAATTATAGTTGTACGGTTTTTGGTTTCAAATTTCTTCAAAATCTCCATCTTCACTAGCTTGGGTTTCTACTGAAATTTTTGCTATAATTTGAATTTGAAATTTATGTATTAGGTATTTTTACTTTCATTGTTTCAATAATTGTAGTTGTATAGTTTTTGGTTTTAAATTTCTTCAAAATCTCTATGTTCACTTGCTTGGGTTTCTACTGAAATTTTTGCTATAATTTGAATTTGGAATTTATGTATTAGGTATTTTTACTTTCATTGTTTCAATAATTGTAGTTGTACAATTTTTGGTTTCAAATTTCTTCAAAATCTACATCTTCACTTGCTTGGGTTTTTACTGAAATTTTTGCGGTAATTTGAATTTGGAATTTATGTATTAGGTATTTTTACTTTCATTGTTTCAATAATTGTAGTTGTACGGTTTTTGGTTTCAAATTTCTTCAAAATCTACATCTTCACTTGCTTGGGTTTCTACTGAAATTTTTGCGGTAATTTGAATTTGGAATTTATGTATTAGGTATTTTTACTTTCATTGTTTCAATAAGCATATGTGTTGCTTTTGATTCCTAGAATCGTATTTTAGGTTATATGCTTTGATGGTTGCAACTAAGAAGAAGTGGAGAGGAAGCTGCTCTTAAATCTGGTGTCCTTAGATATGGAAAAGGCAAATGGCGTAAAATTCTTAAGGATCCAAAATTTAGTGGTGTGTATTTAGTGGTGTGTTGTATCTGTGTTCAAATGTTCATCTCAAGGTAGTATTTTAGCTTGATATTTTTTTAAAAATTAATTTTATTCTGTGTATAGGAATTTTAGATGTTTCTCAAGTCAGATCCAGTGTATTATGTACCCTATAACTACTTAGTTAAGCTAAAGTTTTGATACAATCTACCTCTGTGATGACTTACAGGACAAGGGGAGAAGCATGACTGTGATGGCAAACAGTTCGGGTTCTCAATATAAAACAAGGTTGGCTTTGAAATGGATGTTTCAGTCCATTGTTGATGAGTCCACAAATTGGACTCATTTAGGGCTATATTTTAATAGAAATTG